GCAGGGCCCTGCAGGATGCCCGAAGGCAGGGTTGGTACCTGGCAGGTCCTGGACCAGGCGCATGGGTTTGGGGGAGCTGGGCTGGTTCTGGTTGGAGGTGCCAGGTGAGTGACTCATGAGAGACGCTTCCTCCGCAGGGCTTCTGTGATTCTCATTGGCCATTTCTCAGCAACCACACTGGAAAAAACAGAGGAATATCCGGTGTTACAGCAGGAAAGGTCCCATATCTGCTTGGCACACTCAGGTGTAGCAATACAAGTTCATTCTGATAATAAAATAGGAATTGAACCAGTACATGCAAACTGCACCTCAGCCCTGAAAAACACTTGTGATCCTGGATATGAGCTATGAGGAATGCTCAGCATTAAATGGGGTTAGCCAGGGTGTTCTTCAGGCCAGCATTCAAAATATTCCTTTTTCAGCTAGATCTCTCCAAAGAGTGAAGAAATCAGATTGTAAAAAATAACATAAGCTCCTCTGTGATTATGTGCCACCTTCTGCCACACCAATACCACTGGCCAGGTCTGATCTGTTACCCTCAGAGACAGTTTGAATCAACTCACACACACATAACTGCACATCATTTCAACAAAAGCTGTCATTAAAAAAAAAATCTGCTATATAAAATAGCCCTGGAGGTTCACTAACAACTTCTGTGGTTCAGAAAACCACAGGCTGGGAGTCAGGAGCTCCTGAATTATTACCCTCTGCATGTCCCAGGCTGACACGTCCTAGTCCTAGTCCTAGTCCCACAAGCAAGGCCTCAGCCAGCTGTTTTGGCCCTTGCTGCTTTTTCATCTGCATAACAACAGTTATGCAAAAGAAGGTCTGTTGGAACAATAAAGCTCCTCTTAACCATAATTTAATGTTGCCAGCTGGAGAGAAACAGCCAGGCTTTTCCTCTCTTAGTCACCACTCTTCCCCTGGGGAAGTTTCTGAAACAGCGGCACAGATTGCTCTTCTCTGGCAGCCCAAAACACACTGGCAATGAACTGGGGGGAAACAAGGCATTTTACATAATTCCCAGCTACCTCAGACACTTAACTCTATTCAGGCTTTGGAGACACCCCACAGCACACAGCAGCAGAGTCAGGGCAGCAGCAGCACAATGCTGTGCATAGTGTGCTCCTCACCTGAGCAGCACACTACCTGGCAGCAGGAGCCACGTACAGGAGCTCTCCAATAAAAACTCGGGATTTTTCTGGGGCTAAGTCACTTGGGTTTGAAGCCTTCGCTGCACTTCCTGTGCATACAGGCCAGTGGCTATTGCAGCACAACAGAATGGCAGGAGCAAACACTGAGCAAGAGCGAGGGGCCAGTAGCTCAGCTGCTCACAGCACTGGCTGAGATCAGCACTGAGGAACTCAACTCCTTCAGCCCCTCGGAAGATGTTTCCATGTTTCCAGGCAGGGCACACAAGGGAAGGTGTGGGACACTGCAGACACCTGGAGTTTGGGTCTTTGCCCCCAGAGCAAGCAGGACATAACTGGGGACCTTTAATGGCCTCAGCAGTGAGCGTTGTGCAATCTCACACTCCCTCCTGAACTCCAACCCCACCACGTCCTTACAGCCACTTCACAAAGGTGCCAAGGTGAGCTGGGCCAGTGGCAGCAGCTCAGGCTCGTGTCAGCCCGTGGGTACAGGGACCCCGGAGACAGCAGGGCTGCCAGGCAGGAGCGCAGGGAACCTGCGAGGGATGTTTAGTCCCTCCTCCTCAAACTAAAGTTACAATTGCACATGCAGCTGCATCCTGCAGGTTACACAGAGCACACCCTGGAGTGAATGGGGTGTACTGGGGGGACCAGAGCTCCCAAAGTCATGATTGTCAGGATTCACAGACAGCACTGGGCACAGAGCCCTGGCCAGCTTGGATGGCACATGCCAGCTCCAGTGACCTGCCAGTGTTTTTCACCACCCATCGCTCAAAAGAGCTGTCAAACAGGGTGACTGGCTCTGCCTCCTCCCATTTATGGATAAACTGGAATGGTGGAAGTAGCCAAGAAGCTTTATCACTTGATCAGTGTTAACAAGTATTAAAGCCAAGTACCCTTAAGGTCTGGGAAAAGGAAACAGCCAAACTAACAGGAATCCTGGCAGAAGCCACTCTACTTTTATGTAACTACACTGGGACTTAGACAGTGACAGGGATCCAGAGGAAGCATTTTATGGTGATTACGGTATGTTTTTATACACCATGGCAATGCATACAGTGCTTCACAAACACGGTACAACGCTGTCCCTGCCCAGAGAGCTTACAACCTAGAGCAGCAGCACAACCAGAGACCACAGTGAGGGGTAAGGAGACACAGAGTAAAGAAGTACAGCAAACAGGACCGGTATTTGTTTCCATTTCACCGAGGTAGAATTTTGTACAAGACAACAGCAAATGCAGACAAAGGAGATCAGCGACAGCCCCCCGGGACAACCCCCGGTTCTCCCCCATCCCAGAACCACGGCTGCTCCAGGAGGCTGGGAGCCAGGCCATCGCCTTCCCCATCGGCACCTATCCCCTTTCCGAGCGCAGGCCGGCGGGCCCGGAGCTGAGCAGCGCAGCGCTCCCGGGGCACCACGGGCACTGGGACCGGGGCACCGGGTCTGCGCGGGGAAGCGGCCGGGAACCTCCTGGGGCTGCCCTGCCGGAGGCGAAGACGGCACGGAGCTCCTCGGCGCGGCGGGCCGGGGCCGGCGGGCGGCCACGAGCGCCCAGCGAGTGCGGAGAGGAGGCGGCGGCGGCGACAACTCTGCAGTCTGGCCGGGAGCGGTCCGGGGGCGCGGCCTAAGCGGGGCGGCGGCCGGCCGGGCGGGTACTTACGGTGGCGGGCTGCCTGGCGGGACGCGTGGCCGTCGCTCCGTGCTCGCCGCTGGCGCGCCGGGGCCGCATCCTCATAGCGGGGCGTCCCGCGCCTGGCCCGCGGGGGCGGCTGCGGAGACAGGAGCCCGTTACGGCGCCGCGGGGAGGGGCCGCGCGACGCGCAGGCGCGGCGGGGGCGCGGCGGCGGGAGCGCAGCGGCAGTAGCGGCCGCGCTCTAAGATGGCGGCCGCGGGCCTGCGCCGCCTCCCCTCCGCCGCCCGCGCGCCGCCGCCGGTCCACGCCGCCTCCTCCTGCGCGGCGAGCCGCGGCCACGCGGTTGCGCCGCTTACCTGGGCGTGAGGCCAGGGGCTGCAGGCACCGGGCACCGCTGCGTCCGCCACCGCCGCCGCCCCACCTCCGCCTCGCCCGCCCCGCCGCCGCCATCTTGCGCCGGGGCCGCGGGTATGGAGCGCATGCGCGAAGCAGAGCCCGCGCTTGGGGGAATTACGTGGAGCATGCGCAAAGGCTGCGCGGTCACCCCGCCCACCCGGCGCCATCTTTGTGGCGGGCACCGCCCCGCGGTGGGCGCGGAGCGGTCGCGGTCCCGCCCGCGCTGTCGTGGAGCCGCTTCGTGCGGGCCGGCCCCGCCCTCCCGCCCGCCGCGGGCGGTTCCCGGCACTGACAGGGCGCGGCCGCAGCGGTCGCCACCAAAGAGCCTTTGAAGAGCGGCGGCGCCGGGGCGGAGGGGCTGCATTGATGTGGAGGCGCGGGGTTTCCGCCGCCCCCCGCCGGGCACAGCGGTTGCTCCTGCTGCGCTTCAGCCCGGGCCGGGCCTGGCAGCCGCTGCCTGTCCCGGCGGTCCCTCGGGCGCAGCGCTGACACGTCCCTCCCCACACTATCCCTCGGGTCCTGGTGGCAGCCGGCGGGCGCTGGCAGTGAGGGGCGCGGTGCAGCGCAGGGCACTGCCCGGTGGTCGCTGGGGTCGGTCCCTTGTCCCGCGGCCGCTGCTGCACAGCGTATGCTGGAGGATGACACGGGACGTGGAAGGAGGACACGGCTGTTATTGGGGGTTCTCTGGGGGTCGCAGGACCCCTCGCAGCCGGCGGAGTTTCTGCCACATCCACCTAGCAGAGCACCCGTCCTGCCTCGGCCCCACCTCCCTGGGCAGCCGCTGGCCCACGGCCCCGGTGAAGGGGAAACCGCGGGGCCTCTCCTGCCCTTTTCTTCTGGGATATCCCAGCTGCCCGGCTTTCCAAGGGGTTTCCCATCTCCCGGAGTCCTGCCCTCTGCTCCGGGAGCAGCGGGGTCAGTTTAATGAGTTAACGCTGGCGCAGCAGTTCTGGGGGGATAAGTGCTGTGTAAGCACTGAGGCTCGCGTTTTGGGCTTCCAGCAGCCCGGCTCCGCTGCCCAGAGCACCGATAACCCCCCGGGGCACAAAGGGCCGGCTCAGACCGACCCCTGAGGGCAGAGGGGACTCTGTGAAGGGACAGTGAAACTCCAGACTTGGAGCGAGGCAGCTCAAGTGGCCGAGGGGGTGGTGAGGGCAGGGGCTCTCGGCATGGCTCGGTCAGGCAGGATTTTCGGGAGGCAGCCCCGGGCTGAGGAGCTGCCCGTCTTTTCCGTGACGGGAGCAGGACGGCTGCGTGGGCGCTCGTGGGGACACTCCGGCAGTGCCCATCTCGGTGCTGCGACCCCGGAGCCAGCCAAGCTGCCGCTAACACACGGGGCAAGGCCACCCAGAGGCACATCCTGCAGAGCCAGTGCTGCCTGCCTTGGGGTGGGGGCAGTCCTGAGGGTCCGCAACTTCTCTGCTCAGGTTCATGTTACAGATGGCCATGAACCAGCCCCCAGCAGCAACCCCGGCCCGGGTCTGCACTGGAGCTGGGACAGCCGAGCACTGGCAGAAGCTGCATAACAGAGATTGGGAGTCCCCAACAGCCCAGGCCCGCCCGGACATTGCCGTTTGCACATGTGCCCCTCGCACGGGGGGTGCCGGAGATACCCACGGCTCTGGTTGCGTGTGCAGGACGCGGGGAGCGGTGTTTTCGGGGGGAAAAGGCTTCGTGTCCAGCCCGGAGGTGGCCAGGCGAGCCGCTGCCTGTGCCGCTGCTGGCAGCCGGCCGGGCTCGGCGGGACACCGACCTGCATCCTCCCCGACCGTCCGTTCCGCTGTCTCCTCCCAGCTGTGAGCCCACAAGGAGTGGCAGTTGGGGGCTATATAAAGGCAGGGAAACCTCAGCCAGCTCAAAAGAAAGTCTTGGAGCTGGTGGTGTTCTCCCTCCCTCCTGCCTTCACGTGATTCAGCTTCCCCACGCCGGGAGCCAAGGACAAGCCTCGCTGTAAGTACCCGAACTGAGCCGGCATTGTTTGGGGGAGCCCCCCAGCCTCTGGGCAGGATGGTGGCTCCGGGGAAGGGGATCCCCCATCCTTTCCCTTTACAGAATTGGAGGAAAACGCTGTGGGGGAGCCCCGTCCCATCGCACAGCCCCGGGGAGGGAGTCCCCATCCTCTCCGAGAAGTGGGGGAAGCTGTGTGTGAGCCCCATCCCATCCCACGGGCTCGCACGGAGCTCTGCCTGTTCCTGTGGGATGGACAGGCTCCAGCTCCCGTCTCAAACCAGCCTGGGGGCAGGCGGCACATCTCGGGGGGGCTGTGACGGTCGTGGGACGGCCCCACGGGCGAGGGCTCGCTGCTCTGCGAACTGCTGGGGCTCTCCGCTGCAGCAGCACGCACGGGGCTGGCGCCTGTCCCTGCGGTTCGGGGAGCGGGGTGTGTTCAGCGCGGGGGGAGTGCTGCAGTGGGTGTTCCCAGATGTGGGACCCTCGGGCTCCACAGGGCCAGTGCGGGGGCTTGTGCACAGCACATGGGGTAGGAGCCATGTCCCTCATGGGCTGCTGCTCCAGAGGTTTCGGGCAAAAGCGACCTGGGCAGCACTGGGGGTTTCAGGGAGAACAGTGGAGCCGTGGGGTGCTCCTTGGAGCTATCCCCTACCCGGGGCAGGTCGGACAGCAGCTGCTTCCCTTCCAGTGTGTCCCCCGGGCCTGTCTGTGCTGACACTCGTGTATGTCCCCAGGCCAGTCCGTGCTGACCCTGCTCTCTGCCTCCAGGTGCGGGATGGCTGCCGGCGGCTGCCTCCTTCTCCTCCTTTTGCCCTCGCTGCTCACAGCTTCACACAGCCCTCCTGGCTGTAAAATCCGGATTACTTCCAAGGGGCTGGACCTGGGTAAGGGGACGTCCAGGATCTCACAGTCTGGGAAGAGGGACGTTTGGCACCGTCCTGGGGTCTGTGCTTGTGTAGGGCTCTGCCTGCACTGCTCCACCATGGGGTGGCCGGGAGGAGTGGGGGCTGTCAGGGGCGATGCTCCCAGGAGGGCACGTCCTGACCCAGCCTCGTTTTTCCCTGCAGTGAAGCAGGAGGGGCTGCACTTTGTAGAGCAGGAGCTGCAGAACATCACAGTGTCGGACCTGCATGGGAATGAGGGGCAGTTCCAGTACAACATCAGCCAGTGAGTGCTGCCTGCTGCCCACGGCCTCCCGTGTCCATCTGTCCGTCTAACCACCCCTGTCCCCTCCCTGCAGGGTCAAGGTGACAGACCTGCAGCTGGCCTTTTCAGATCTGAGCTTCCAGCCACAGCAGCACCTTGTCTTCAACATCAACAATGCTTCCATTAGCCTACGTTTCCGCAGGCAGCTGCTCTACTGGTTCTTGTGAGCTGCCTCCCCTTCCTCCTGCTCTGGGTGCTAGCCCACCCCATAGCTGTGCATGCTGGGTGCCACAGGTGCCTTGCTGTCCTGCAGCTGGCAGGAGCTGTGTGCTCATCTGCTTCCCTGGCTTTTAGCTACGACATTGGGTCCATCAATGCCTCTGCGGATGGTGTCCACATCTACACAGTGCTGCAGTTGGCCAAGGATGAGGCTGGGCGCCTCAAGATCTCCAATATGACCTGCAACGCCTCCATAGCGAGAATGCACGCTGGCTTCTCCGGCACACTCAGGTACACCCGACCCCTCTGCGCGTGCCTGGCTCTCTGACCTGCTTCCCACACCTTCAGTGCTTCCACAGCCCAGCTGTGTGCTGGAATGGGCACAGAACCACAGGGAAAACAGGCAGTGCAGAACCACTCTTGTGTTCTCCAGGAAAGTTTATGAGTTCCTGAGCACCTTTATCGTCACAGGGATGCGCTTCCTCCTCAGCCAGCAGGTACAGCTGAGCACAGAGAGGGGCTGTGGGATGTTAGGGCTCAGCCCTTTGTGTGTGGGAGAGGGCAGAGTTGTATCCCACCCATCTGCTGGGCCTTGTCCTGCCTCTGCAGCTCCTCATCCAGTCCTGGGAGTGATTCCCCTCAGCCTGGCTCCTTGCCTTGCAGATCTGCCCATCCCTGGAGCATGCCAGCCTGGTGCTGCTGAACTCTTTGCTGGACACAGTGCCTGGTATGTGTTGCCCTGGGAAAGGGACTGGATCCCATTCACTGTCGGGCAGATAGTGCTGGGCATCAAGCTGCCAGGCAGCTCCAGGCTAAGCCACACCAGCACATCTTCCTTGGCAGTGAGAAACTACGTGGATGAGCATATTGGGATTGACTACTCCCTCCTACGGGATCCATCCATCACCACTGACACCCTTGAGCTCGACTTCAAGGTGAACACTGGGTCCTGCCTTGCTGGTCCTTCCCCATCCCTGTAGAAAAGGCTGTGCCAGCAGGCACGTTGGGCTCCATGGAGCAGGTGAGGGCTGCCCAATGGCTGTGGGAACCTCTCTTGCTCTTGGTCCAGGGCATGTTCTTCCCCCGCGTGAGAGAGGACCAGGAGCTGGAGAACCACGCGGTGGAGCCGGTGATCAAAGAGACTGAACGCATGGTCTATGTTGCCTTCTCTGAGTACTTCTTCGACTCAGCCATGCACTCATACTTCCAGGCAGGAGTACTGACCATAGAGCTCCAGGGGGAGAAGGTAAGGAGCACCAGACCCTCAGACTGTGTGCAGGCAGGAGGGAGGGGTGGGCTGTGTCACAGAGCAAAGGAGGTGCCATCCAGGGAGCGGCTTTGCTGGGACCTGCAGCAGTGGCTTGCTCCCCCTAAAGTGGTTTGTGCTCTCCACAGGTGCCCAAGGACCTGGAGGTTTTGCTGAGAGCCACATTCTTTGGGACCATCTTCATGCTGGTAAGGAGCCTCCAGACAGGATGGAAGGCATGGCAGAGCACAGCCCTGCCCTGCACACAGCCTCCAACTCACCTGCATTCCCCAGAGCCCTTCGGTGGATGCCCCACTGCGGCTGGTGCTGCAGGTCTCTGCTCCCCCCCGCTGCACCATCAAACCCTCGGGGACCTCAGTTTCTGTCTCTGCTTTCCTGAACATCTCACTGGTGCCCCCGGATCGCCCACCTGTCCAGCTCTCCAGCATGGCCATGGTGAGAGGAGGGCTGGGGCTCCTTGTGCAGTCAGCCCAGTATACACAGGAGCAGTGTCTCCCATCCTGTGCTATAAGGCACTGGTGTGACTGAGGAGAGGGACACTGGACCTGTGGCATGAGCTGGCCTGGTTGTCCTCTGCCTGCTGTGAGTCAGCCCTCTTCCTCCCCAGGAAACCAAGCTGAGTGCCAAGGTGTTTCTGCAAGGGAAGGCCTTGCGTGTGCAGCTGGACCTACGACGGTATGGCTGGGGTCCCATGGGGGCATGGGGAGAGCCCCCTCCACACCGTACTCACAACTGCTTCCTTCTGTCCAGGTTTCGCATATATTCCAAGCAGTCAGCGCTGGAGTCGCTTGCGGTGAGAGCACAGTGATGGCTTGGGAACCCTTAGACCCAGCCACAGGGCTGGGGTGGGCTGGGGAGAGGCTGTCCATTCAGGATCCCCACTTACAGCCCTCCCTGCCCTGGCTGGCAGCTCTGCCACTACACTGACCCCAGCTCTTCTCCTGCAGCTGTTCTCACTGCAGGCCCCACTGAAGACCCTGCTGCAGCTGACCATCATGCCCATCATTAACGGTAGGCATCACTGCTCCCACACAACTGGGAGTGGAGGCAGGGGCATAGCAGAGCTCAGCCTCATCTCAGCTCTCCCTGTCTGTAGAGAGGACAAAGAAGGGAGTGCAGATCCCACTGCCTGAAGGCATGGACTTCACCAGGGAGGTGGTCACCAATCATGCGGTATGTGGTGCGATAGGCACAGCCTGTGCCTCCATGTCCTGCTGGGGAGGGCACTGTCACCTCCAGCCTTGCACTGACCCCTCTTCCCTCTGCAGGGATTCCTCACAGTGGGAGCTGATCTCCACTTCTCCAAGGGGCTGCGGGAGGTGATTGAGAAATACCGCCCAGTGCCAACCACTGCTGCCTACTCCAGCTCCCGGCCCGCAGAGCCCAGCCTGGACCCCAGCTCGCTCTAGCTCTCCTCCCTGGACCAAGGGCAGATCCCGGGCTGGACCCGTAGACTGTAGGTAGGAAGCAGCTTCCCTGGTACCACCAGCACATTGTCAGGGCGTCCAGGCCCTGGTTGGGCGCAGCAAGGTGGAGAGGGTGCTCTGGGAATCCCTGCTGCAGCCCTGCTCATTACACTAATAAACCACCTGACTCCAACCACATGGCCTCAGTGCTTGGAGGACATGTCCATGCTGGGGAGATGGAAAGGAAGCAGCTGATGCTGCTGCCCAACATGGGTCCTTGGGAGCAAATGCAGCTCAGTGCAGTGCCAGAGGGCTCAGAGTGACTGCGCTGCTGCTGCTTAGGTGGGTCACTCGTTTCCAGGAGGCAGGGACCCCTGCAGAAAGGGCACAGTTCACAGAGCCCAGAGCTCCCTGGCAAAGGGCATTGTCACTGGTGCTCCTCAAAGAGCGGAGGAAAGCGAAGCAGGGGCTGGCACAAAGGTGCGAGGAGGAGCAGAACCACCTTGGTCAGAGTTTATTGCGAGTTCCTGAAGCACTGCGTGCCCTGGCAGTGGGATTGTTGTGGTAGTGGTGGTAAGTCTCCTTCAGTGGGAGCAGAGGTGGTGGGAGCCAAGGTAGAGGTGAGTAGGACCCAGCTGCCCCCTGCTGCTGCTCCTCATAGCCAGCCCAGGCCGTGTGCGTGTGGGGCCGAGGGGAAGTGCTGGGGATTGCTCCCTGCCCGGGAGGGAAGCAGCTGCCACCACAGATAGGAGGAGGCAAGACAGGAAGCCACAAGGGAGGAGGTGGCTGCAGCAGGTGCACAACGCCTCTCCCACAAGGACAGAGTCCCCCAGCCCATGCCCCTACCCTGTCTAGCCGGGGGAAAGGCTGCAGGCGTGGCAGGTCCGTGGTGTAGCCGAGCAGCAGCGAGGATGGGCTGTGTAGGTGCCGGTGGTGAGGGCGGGTGGGGTGGTGAGAGCAGCTGGAGCGCCGGGCGCTACCTCTGCAGCTCTTAGTAAGGCTGGTTCTTAATGAAGCGGCAGAACATGGTGAAGGCAGCGAGTGGCCGGTCTGTGGGCACCATGTGGCCAGCTCCCTGTAGGAAAGGGACAGTGTTGGCAGTGTGGCTGGGGTGCTGCCACAGCCCAGCTGACACCAAACCCTGACTGCAGCCTTAGTATCCAGCACACCCACCCACAGCCCCATCCCTGGCCCCCAGAGCCCTCAGCCCTACCTTGACAGTGAGGAAAGCGATGTTGGTGAATTCCTTCACAAACCCACCGATCTGGTTCTCACCATTTTCAGTGTAGAGCCAGGGCCGGCGAGCTACCTGCACCTGGGAGTAGCAGCAGTGCCTTCAGCACCTGCAGCTGGCCCTGCCCATGCTCCTGCCACAGCCAGCTACAGCACATAGCCCAGAGCCAGTGACTGGCCTAGCCTGGGCCCTGCCCATTTACCTTCTGGCACAGGGAATCCACAAACCACTCATCCCCGAGAAAGTTACAAGCCATGTCGACGTCCCCATTGTACACCAGGATCCGATATTTCTGTGTAGCAGACAGAGAGTGAGTTGTTGGCAGGGCAGCAGCCCCAGCCAGGTAGGAGGCTGAGCTGGCAGAGACACTCCCAGGATCTGTGGGCTCCCCTGCACACACCGTAGCTCCAAGCAGCTTGAGGTACTGCTCATTCATCTGCATGTACAGGCGCTTGTAGCTGCGGTTCACGTCGAAGCTGTGGAGGAAGCATTGGCAGCATGTCTGCTCCTTCTCAGAGTAGTCCCTCCCTGCCCACAGCTTGCTCACCTGCACACCTGCCACTCTGGGGCCTCGGGGGAGATGTGCAGAGCCTTCCGCACCTCGGGGGAGTTCAGATACATGCTAGGGGCTGTGGAGTTGGTGCAGGGCGGGTCCATCCGGACCTTCTTTCGGGCTACTGGCATCCGGAACAGGTTCTGGGAGAGTCAGGAGAGTCACTGTCACAGCAGCATCTGCCCCATGGAGCAGCGGCTTTCTGCCCCTCCTGCCCACAGCAGCACAACTGGCTGAACAGAGGTTGCTCACAGCCCAGCAGCATGGGCACCTCAGCTCACCTGCCGCCAGGAGAACCTCAGTGGCATCCGGATGAAGGAGTTGCCCAGGTCATGTGTGATGAGATAATCACCCTCATATCTGTAGCCAGAGAGAGTATGAGGACAGACTGAAAACCCTGGAGAACAAGGGCTAAGGGCTCTCCTGGGGGAAGTCCTCAGCAGCAGCCACACACCATCCATCTGTCCCAGAGGGGCCCCCTGCCCAGCCCACCATGTCCTCTGTGCCAGTGCAACTAAAGCTCTCACCTCATGCTCCCGGGGACACCTCCATCGCATGGGGCATAGAGGTTGTAGATATTGAGGCCAGACTCCTCTACAATCTGAATCATCTCCCCCATCTGCAACGAATTGCAAGAAGGGTTTGGGACTCAGCAGGACCCTTGTGGACCTGTGGGCCCAGGCCCATGCCCCTCAGCATGTGTATAGGGGCTCCGGCTCCCCTCACCTTGAGTGTGCAATTCAGGTTGGAGTTGTCATGGAAGTTGCACTTCCCCTGGGAGCAGCAAAAGGCCTGCAGGTCTTGCCACAGCCTGCAGGCAGAGACCAGGACCACTTGGACAGGTGGCAACACTGACATGACAGCTGCCCTGCAGCTCTCTGTCCAGTGGCCACAAGGCACACAGCTTGGCCCTGTGCCCTCTTTACCCCACAAACAAACCCACCCATGGGAGCTGCCCTGGGACAAGGAGCTACAGCCCAGCTATTGGCCCAGGGCAGGCTAGGTGCTGCCCTTGTCTCAACACCACCGACCCAGACAACCCCAGCCTCAGCTGTGCACCCATCCTGCTTGCACAGGGATGGCACATGCAGCATTCCCTCTGCTCTTACTCGGTCCCCAGCAGCCCGTGGTAATAGGCAAAGTAAACCAGGGAGTTGTCATTGATCTCATAAGATGAGAGGCCGTTTCCCACAGCGATTCCCTGCGAGGCAAGAAGAAAACAACCCTGTTGTGTTCCAGCTCCCCGCGGGGCAGTCACAGCACAGCAGCCGCAGGCAGGAAGCAGATGTGGAACTGTTTACTCTGCGGAGGGAACAGGGAGGGTTGGGGGTGCCTGAGGACACTCCCCCGGCAGCAGGGACAGACACGTCCACCAGCAGCTGCTGCCAGAACCCCAGGAAGAGATGAAAGGCTGCAGGGCCAGGCGTGCCCTGCATCCTAACTGGTCCCACCCTGGCTGTGCCAAGCCCTCTGCTCCCCGGCTGGGCAGAGCCAAGCTGCCCACCTTCAGGTTGAGGCTGGGGTCCTGCATCACCCACTCTGCCAGTGTGGGAATGTAGATCCCTCCATAGCTCTCTCCTGTGAGGAAGAGCTCGTTCTTGGAGTACTCGGGGAAGAGCCGGAGGAAGTCCTTGAGTGCCAGGTAGTTGTTGTGAGCAACCTGCAGGAAGAAAGTGGCACGGTCAGGTGGTGAAGCTGCACCCCATAGCCAGCAGTGGGCAGGCAGGGGAGCAGGGCTCTCCCAGTCACTCACCTCCGTGTCATTTGTGCCATATTTCTTGTCATCGGAGTATGAGAAGCCGACACCAGCGGGAGACTCCACGTAGAGGATGTTGGCAATCTGCAAGGATAGCAGAGGAGCCAGCAATCAGGGGGGACCCTCTGGCTCAGTGGGGCCAAGGACTGCTAGCCCCGCCCATGGCAGCAGCCACAGGAGCGTGGCCCGCCCCAGGGCTGCACTGGGGTGGCCACATTCCTGTGCTGCTCAACAGCACACTTGAGAGGAGGGTGTGCTGGGTGGGAGGGGAGCAGCGGCTCCATGGAGAGAGCAGGAGGAACTGACTCACGGCTACCCCATCTCAAAGCCACAGAGAAAAGCAGTGCCTGTACCTTGTTCCATGCGTACTCATTGTACTTCAGTGTGACCCCATCAGGCTGGATCTGAGGAAGAAAGCGGTGACTGACGGGCAAAGCAGGACAGGACACAGCGGGACGGCTCGTGCCATGTAGCCGGTCATCCCCTGAGTCCTCAAGCCACGGGATAGCAGTGACTACTAACCAGGAAAGGGCCGTGCTCCTTGAGGAAGCCCTCCATGGAGCTGCAGCCAGGGCCCCCGTTCAGCCACAGCACCAGGGGGCTGTTCTGGGGATTGCTCTGGGCCTCCACGAACCTGTGGACGTGTAGTTGTGAGTGCCCGGTGCCAGCCGATACCCCCCCTCGCCAGGCGCACTCCCACGTACCAGTAGTGCAGGTACTTGCCCGGCCCGGCGCAGAGGTAGCCCGAGAAGTGGCGGAAGGACGGCTGCTTTGACAGCCCGGGCAGGTAGGTCACCTCATGGTCCGGGGGGGCGGCCCAGCCCAACCCCAGCAGCAGCAGCGACGACAGCAACACTGGCCCCATCTGCGGTGGGCGGAAGGGACGGTCAGGGTGCTGTCGGCCAGGAACGGCCGCGGCAGCGCCCCGCGAGCGCCCCGGCCCGGCTGCCCCGATCCGGTCCCCGACTCGGGGTTGACCCCCGGCCCGGCGCAGTCGGCTCCCCTGGCGCCGGTCCCTCAGTCCCGTCCCCCCGGTCCCGTCCCGGCGCCCCCCCGTCCCGCTGACCGCGGCCGCTCCCGGCGCGGCGCTCGCAGGCGGCGGTCACGGCGGGCACATGACACGCGCCCATATGACCTGCGGCCCTCACGTGAGCGGGGCGGGGCCCGACGGCGGCCAATCAGTGCCCCGGGGCCGGCCGGCCCCGCCCCGGCCCTGCCCGCGCACGTGGGAGCGGCCCCGGACCGGGACCGGGACCGGGACCGGAACCGGGACCGCGACTGTACGGGGGGGGGGGGCATCGATGGAGCCCCCGTACACTAACGGGGTGCCGGTGGGCACTACCGGACACCACCGGTTACAGCTGGGTGTAGGCGGTACAGCTGGCTGCCACCCAGCACCGCTGGGTAAAGCCGAACATCACCAGGCACTGCCAGTCATGCCGTGTGATGACCACTGGCCACTGCTGCCTATAGCTGGTGCCACTGGGCACCACCGGGCACTGCCAGCTGCTGCTGGACAGCATGGGCGCAGCCAGGCACCCCGGCCCACGTGGCAGCGCTGGACAGTCCAGGGCGGAACGTCTGTGGGTCTGGTTTGGGCCCAGTTGTGCCCAGCAGCCACAGGGCCCCCCCAGCCTCCCCCATGGCACTAGGACCCCTCTTGAGCCCTCCCGTTGTCCCTCCCAGCCGGCCTGTCAGCACCTCGCAGCAGCTGTGACAGGGACAGTTAAAAATAGCCCCGGCAGCAATGGCTGCCCGGTGCCGGCTTGCTGCACGCTTCCACCACATCCACGGCGCCAACATCCGCCTGGATGCCTCACACACGCAAGCCACACGGGTGGAGAGCTTCGCCAACGGGCTCTGCTTCAGCCAGGAGCCTCTGGCACCCGGGCAGATCTTCCTGGTGGAGATTGAGGAGAAGGAGCTGGGCTGGTGCGGGCACTTGCGCGTGGGGCTGACAGCGCACGATCCGCAGAGCCTGGAGGTAGTGCCTGAGTACTCGCTGCCGGACCTGGTCAACCTGGGGGACACCTGGGTGTTTGCCATCACCCGGAACCACAACCGGGTGGTGGTGGAGGGGGAGGAGGCGCAGGCGCGGGGGCGCCCCTGGGAGCCCTTCCTGCTGATCGAGCGGGTGCGGATCCCCCGGGACACGCTGGTGGGGCGCAGCCGGCCCGGCCGCTACAGCCACATCCTGGATGACCTGTACAAGATGAACGTGCTGCCAGCGACCGCCCGGCGCAGCCGCATCGGGGTGCTGTACGCCCCCCAGCCCGACGGCACCGCCGACATGCACATCGTCATCAACGGCGAGGACATGGGGCCGAGCGCCAGGGGCCTGCCCGCCGCCCGCCCGCTCTACGCCGTCATTGACGTCTTTGCCTCCACCAAGAGCGTCCGGGTGATCCCGGTGGATTATGGCTGTAGGTACCTGTGCCCCTCCCTGCGGCACGTGCTGCGTGGGCCAGGAGTGGGGGAGCTCTGGTGGGGTCATGCCATAGTTGCCAACAGAGGGAAGGTTGGTGTGTGCCACTGGGCTGAGGGACACAGGGTAAGAGGGCACAGGAAAGCCTCTGGTCCTTGTGGAGCACAGGCGAGATCCACAGTACGACTGCGGGGCAGTGTCTGAAACAAGTTCTGCCATGGGCACTGTGCTGGGGCCAGGGAGAGACCCCCAGCAGCAGCACCAGTCAGGCAGAGCCCCCTGGCCACCCTTCCCAAGCACAGTGATAGGGTTGGGTGTTTGGGGCTGTCCCACAGCTGTGAGGCCTTGCTGTGCCCAGCCTTTCCTACAGCACGTGGCAGCCAGAGCCAACTAAGATCCTGCCCTGGCATCAAAACATCCACCTACACCCACCACGGCTCAGCACGCTGCGCCCACGCACCTGCCGCGTGCCCCAGACACGATGTTCCCTGGGCAGACACCCTGTGATGCCATCGGAGCCTGGGCATTATCCCATGTCCCTTGGTTTGCTGGGAGGGACCAGGCTAATAAGTGCTAATTAGCACCACGTTGGAAGAATGAGGAGATGGATCAGGTGAGACAGAGCCAGAAGAAGAGCTAGAGCCAGAGTACTGCCTGCCCCCAGCACTGGGAGCCATTGCTTCACATGCTGGTGTCAAGAGCAGCTACTTCTGTCCTAAGGCTGGCACCTGGTATTCTCCCTGGTGTAACAGCTGAGGAGAGTCGTGGCTGCAGCAGACAGTACCCATGCTGCTGAGCCACCCATGGCTCCGGGAAGTCGTATTACAGGAGCAGGAACCAGGCAGATTCTGTTCAGGTGCTCAAGGGGACGGTTCTCATGGTGGTCTGCCCCAAAGGTATGGCAGGCACTGTCTCTGCAGGCAGTGCAGCCCCAGCCTGCAGACACTCACCCAGTAGCTTGGTGCTGGGGCCAGTGCAGGCAAAACAAGGGAGTGGGATGGAAAAGAAGCCCAGCATGAGTAAGTGAGACCCTGGGGAGTTGCCTGACATCCACCAGAGAAAGAAATGCAAACCAGCCACAGTCACGCACAGCTTGGGCACATAACTGTCTCTCAGCCTTCCTCCTAATAACGGGAAGAGCTTTGCTGCCCGGGGCCCTTGAGCTTCCAGCCCTGCTGGAGCAGCCTGGCACCAGCCCCCGCACAGCCAGTTTGAGCCCAGGGCAGGACGATGCTGCAAAGCAAACGCACCCACTACTGCCTTTAACCACAGTGCCTCCCAGAAGCACTGCCAGCTCCTCCACCCCGCTGTGCTCAGCCTCACTGCCGACCTGCCCAGCTCAGGTACACTCTCTGTTCTCTTGCAGTTCCTTCCCTGCAGACGCTGTGCCGGCTGGTTATCCAGAAACACGTTGTGCACCGCCTGGCCATCGATGGCCTGGACTTGCCCCCGCTACTCAAGAGCTTCTGCCAACATGAGTGAGGTATCGAGGGTGCTGCTGGGCTGCCCACCACATCAACAGCCCCCCAGTGATGGCTGCCCGGCAGGCTCTGTGCCCCGCCCTGCCCACTCACCCCAGCATGTGCTGCTGAAGGGCTGATGTGAAAGCAGGGCAAAGCGGGGTTGGGATTTTCCCCGCACTGATGGTGTGGTATGCCCAGAGCGTGGGCAGGGGGATTGATGTGGGTCAGAGAGAGCAATAAAGTGCTTCCAGACAAGACTCTGTCAAAGGAGGCTTGGGGGGCTGGGATGCCCCTGTGCTTCAGCAACCTCTTGTAGGAGCAGTTCCCCCACCAGTGAGGAAGGGAGCACAGGCCACAGCCCTGTGGGGTTCAGGACATGTCCCTGGCCCTGGAATTACGCTGGGACTGTCTGAGTGGATCAGAGCGGGTGGAGCATGGGAGGGCACAGCACAGCACAGCACTCACGTGGAGGTAAATTTCAGCCAGACTCATCCTGGCCCGGCAGTTTCACTCTTGGGAAAGATGTTTACCCAGAGAATGATGAGTTATTTCCTGTGTGTTCAGCTTGGAGGGGGACGAGTCAGATGCTGGAGCACCCAGACAGCAGTGCTGGCAGCAGCCCTTGCTTGGGCACGTGTCTGTGGCCACAGAGCCAGTCACAGTGACCTGGTGTGGGGCACAGGCATCCTGACTTGGAGCTCCATGCCCTTGGCTCTGTGCCCTCAGCCAGACTCTTCAAGCCCGGGCAGGTGGGGATGGCAGCCAGGATCCTGCAGTGCCTATGGCAGGCTGGAGGGGAGGCAGCTGTGCAGAGGAACAGGCTGGAGGGGGGAGGTCTCCTAAAATCAGAGGGGTTCCCATGGGAGTCAGAAAAATATCAAAGGGGCTGGAAAAGTGTTCCAGGCCTCTTCCATAGCACAACCAAAGGGGAAACAATCAGCTCTAAGCTTACAAAAAGGTGTTTTAAAGAAACAGGATGCTATATTTAGTCGGAGACTCGATAGTATCAGATCATGTTACAAAATTTGTGCTCAAAGGAAATCCCCAGCCCACAACCACAGCCAACTCTATCAACACCAAAGTGTTAATGAAGGAATTGCTAAATTCCATGGGAAAACATGGACAGTGACCAAACCACAGCTATGGAGCGAGGCCTCTGACATTCCCTGCTATGTCCCAACAACAGCTGCTGGGGCTGGAGCTCATCTGGCTGCGGTGGGGCTGGGGAACTCACCCACTCCAGAGCAGCGCCCACAGACGAGGGCGTTTACTCTCCAGGCTGTTTTCTCTCTCCCACCCTTGCACGAAGCCTTTGCTCCCCACCTCCCTGCAGTGTTATCTGCCCGGCAGTGACCCCTGCACACGAGGGCGGGTTCCTCTTTCTTGAGGAATTGAGAGCAGCTGCTGCAACCAGACAAACAACACCCCTGCTCTATAGTGAGCTGCAGCACAGTGGGATTGCAGGGATTCAAGAGCTGCCACCTCCTGCCACCTGAGGCACCACGGTGAGACAGGACAACTGAGGGGCAGTGCCCAAAGCCCTGACCAATTCCCCATGCTCTGTTCCCTGGGCAGGAAAGGGTGGCTGCAGCTGGCACAGGGACAGGCTCAGCTCCCAAACAACGGAGGGGAGGCAGCTGTGCAGAGGAACAGGCTGGAGGGGGGAGGTCTCCTAAAATCAGAGGGGTTCCCATGGGAGTCAGAAAGATATCAAAGGGGCTGGAAAAGTGTTCCAGGCCTCTTCCATAGCACAACCAAAGGGGAAACAAGCAGCTCTAAGCTTACAAAAAGGTGTTTTAAAGAAACAGGATGCTATATTTAGTCAGAGATAGTATCAGATCATGTTACAAAAGTTGTGCTCAAAGGAAATCCCCAGCCCACAACCACAGCCAACTCTATCAACACCAAAGTGTTAATGAAGGAATTGCTAAATTCCATGGGAAAACATGGACAGTGACCAAACCACAGCTATGGAGCGAGGCCTCTGACATTCCCTGCTATGTCCCAACAACAGGCTGGGAGCTGCTGGGGCTGGAGCTCATCTGGCTGCGGTGGGGCTGGGGAACTCACCCACTCCAGAGCAGCGCCCACAGACGAGGGCGTTTACTCTCCAGGCTGTTTTCTCTCTCCCACCCTTGCACGAAGCCTTTGCTCCCCACCTCCCTGCAGTGTTATCTGCCCGGCAGTGACCCCTGCACACGAGGGCGGGTTCCTCTTTCTTGAGGAATTGAGAGCAGCTGCTGCAACCAGACAAACAACACCCCTGCTCTATAGTGAGCTGCAGCACAGTGGGATTGCAGGGATTCAAGAGCTGCCACCTCCTGCCACCTGAGGCACCACGGTGAGACAGGACAACTGAGGGGCAGTGCCCAAAGCCCTGACCAATTCCCCATGCTCTGTTCCCTGGGCAGGAAAGGGTGGCTGCAGCTGGCACAGGGACAGGCTCAGCTCCCAAACAACACGAGGGTGATTTATTGGCTCAGTTGCACAACACCTCACAGCTGGATGCTGCAAGGACCTGCGGGTGCTGGCCACAGATGAAATAGTTTTGTCACGTGTTATTGTACCTAGATCCTTACAAATCTATGGGCCCTCATGGGATTAATTTGAGAAACCACAAAGAGCTGGCTGATGTCATCACAAAGACTGTCGATGATTTTTGAGCAGTTTTGGGAATCTGGAGAGGTCCCACATGACTGGAAGCTGGGGAATGATGTCCCAGTTTCAAAGGACAGGAAGGAGAACCCTGGAAACTACAGGCCTGTCAGTCTCACTTCAGTGCCCAGTAAAATAATGGAAAAGATCATTCTGGCAGGTACTGAAAAACACCTGGAGGAGAACACAGTCACTGGTCACAGCCAGCATGGCTTCATGAGGGGAAAGTCCTGCTTGCTGAACATGATTTCCTTCTAAAACAGGGTAACCAGCCTTACTGACCAAGGAAAACCAGTAGATGTAATGTTTTTTGGTTTCAGCAGAGCTTTTGATACTGTCTGTCCCAGTATTCTTTTGGACAAAGTGTCCAGCTTGCAGCTGAATAATCCTGTTACACAATGGGTGAGCAACTGGCTCACAGGTTGGGCACAAACAAAGACTTAGAGTGAATGGAGTGACTTCAGGCTGGTGTCCAGCCACTAGAGGGGTTCCCTAGGGCTTCACCCTTGGCCCAGTTCTCAACATCTTCATTAACGACTTGCAGTCAGGACTTGAAGGAATACTAAGTAATATACTAATGTTTAGTGCTAGCAACACTAAATTGGGAGGAGCTGTCGACTCCACTGAGGGCAGAGAGGCCCTGCTGAGAGACCTCAGCAAATTGGAGAGATGGGTAATCACTAAAAGTATGAAGTTTAACAAGAGCAAATGACATTCTGCACCTTGTACAGGGCAATCCTGGTGGTATATACAGACAGGGGAACAAGAAGCTGGAGAGCAGCACTGTGGAAAGGGACCTGGGGATCCTGGTTGATGGAATATGATCAGCAGTGTCCTGGCAGCCAGGAGGGCCAATCCTGTCCTGGGGACATCAGACACAGCATTGCCAGCAAGGGAGGGGATTGTCCTGCCCTGCTCTGCACTGGTGCAGCCTCACCTCAAGTCCTGGGGGCAGTTTTGGCACAACAATATAAAAAATACATTGAGGTATTAGAGAACATTCAAAAGACACCACGAGGATGGTGATGGGACTGGAAGGAAAGCTTTTGAGAAACATTAGAGGTAACTTGGTCTGTTCAGCCTGGAGAAGAGGAAACTGGGGTAAGACCTCATTGTGGTCTTCAGCATACTCATGAGAGGAAGAAGAGGGGCAGGTACTGGTCTCTTCACTGTCATGACCAGTGACAGAACTCGAGGAAATGGTATAAAGCTGAGTCAGGAAAGATTGAGGCAGGATATCAGAAAAATGTTTGTCACCTGAAGGGTGGCTGAGCACTGGAACAGGCTCCCATGGGCAGTGCTCATAGCATCAAGCCTGAGTTCAGGAAGTGTCTGGACAACGTTCTCAGGCACATGGTGAGATTTTTGTGGTGTCCTGCACAGGACTGGGAGTTGGACACGATCCCAATGGGTCCCTTCCAACTCAGCAGATTCTAGGATACCAGCACCTCCCACATTGCACCACCCAGAGCTGGCTCCTGGCCACAGCTGTTAGCCAGGTCAGTGACTGTTACCCTTCCTGCAGGATCAGGAGCTCCCAATCCAGTTCCTCTGCTGCCCTGTGCAAGAAGTGACACTCACTCAGCAGATCAAGGACCCAAACTGCCCCTTCCACGCCAAGGAAATGACAGGCTGAGGGGAATGAAGGTGCAAGACAGGACACAGTGGAAGCACCCAGCTCAGCTTCCACTCAGTGCTGGAGCTTCACCTCAGTGGAGGGCCTGCTCCAGATGTCAGCCAGCTCCCACAGAGTCCTGTGCTCCAAGTCCTCACTACTGTGGCTGATCTCTGCTGTGAGGAAGGACACCACCAGGGATTTATCCAAAGACTTTTTCCAGGAGCTCTTTAGGACCTCCAAGAGGCCATCAGCACTGTCCCACCCAGCCTGATGGGCATCACATCCCCTCTCCCATGGTCTTCTGAGCATTTCCCTCTTCAACAGCTTCCTGTTTGAACTCAGCACAGCCAAGATGGGCCAGTAGGGCAGCTGGAAGGCCAGGTAGAAGTGGCAAGTGTAGCTACTTGGGCCTTTCTGGAAGATGCTCACAGGGTGGGCATCCTCCTGGATCTGTACATTGAGCCTGTCCTACCTGGTGCAAATCAGCTGCCTGGACTTGCAAACCACTGCCTTAGGCACACTGGCAGCAGCCTCTCACTTAGGTACAGCCTGGCAGCAGCCTCTGTGCAAATGCTACTCAAAGACTGCCTGATGCTGTCTTCAGTCCTTTGGGTAATATAATCTGCACTGTCAAGCTCTGAAGTTTCTGTGGCCTCCAATTTTGCCACAGGATGTATCAGGGACTGAGCTTCCTGGCTCACTCTGCAGAAGAGCATGAGATGTTTCAGGCTGACACTGAAGGGCTCAGGGAGCTGGTGGACTCTGGAGAACAATCACACAACTCTCAACAGCTGCAAGAGAGGCTGACATGAGCTGCTGCTTCTACCGAGCTGCTGCCACAGTGGAGAAAGCCTAGCCAGAGCTCTGGAATGTGTTACCATGGCACACCAGAGGGTCAAGAGGCAAGTCTGAAATAGGCAGACTTTGGGGATTTGCCTGAGCAGCACAGTGATCAGCATGGGGAGCAGAGTGTTATGGCATCAGGAGGGATCAGAAACACACTCTTTCTGGTGCCAGGCCAAGGTGGTGATGCAGCTCTCCAGAGAGAGCCCAGCACTGAAAATTTGACTTAACCCTTGGATGACAATCTCCAGCTCCATGAAGAAATCTCTGCTCTCACCCCAGCAGCCCTCTGTGCGTGGCCCAGATCCCATCCTCGAGCAGGCAGTGAAGGTGGAGCTGAGGCAGCAAGTCCGGCGTGATGGGGTCTCTCAGGACGGTGAGCAGCTCCTGCCGGTGGCTCTCAGTGCCTGCACCCAGGGCTTTCCTGGCGGCGATCACGGCCAGCCGCTCGGTGCGGTGCTGCAGGCGCTGACGGAGGGGAGCACGGGGAGCTGCCCCGCGGCCGCCGCTACCGGCGGGGACACCGCGGCGCGTCCCGGTCCCTGCCGCGCTCCGCCGCCGCCTCCCGCCCGTGCCAGTGGCGGCGCGGTGCGGCCCCGCACGGCGCTGGCACCGCCCGCCGCGGCGGCACCGGAGCGCTCGGGCGCCGCCCGCAGCGGCCGCTGTGCATCGCCCCGGGCCGGGGACACCGGAGCGCCCCTCGGCGTGCGGGCACCGGCTCCTGCCTGGCGGCCTCCCCATCGCTGTGCGGCAGCTCCAGGCTCACTTGTCTCCCTTCAGCAACAAGTGCACCACTCTCTAGCCTCGCTCCTTGCTCTCCACAAGGAAGGCGAAGAGGACTTGGCCTCCCTTGCCTGGTGCCCAGTGCAGGAGAAAACTCTCAGCAACTGCTTGAAGAAACACTTCATCGCATTGCTGCGGAAGCTGGTACCCATGTGTTTGTGTCTTTATCCCTAAAGTACACGGTTCTGCAGCTCTGGAGGAGCAGGCTAGAACATGACAAGAAAAGCTTCAAGGAAGGAGGTTAAATTGTATTTTAAGAAGGCAAGTTATATTTTAAAAGGGCAAAGGGAGCAGTCGCATAACCAGTGAGTGACCTTGTAGCCTATGTGCACACAAGCAGATCCACGAGCTAAGATGGAAACAGTGTCACTACACCCGCTCGGGGAAGTGAAGGCCATGGAATGAAGCGCTCCCTGAGGGAAACCTGAGACCACCTTTCCACCGCAGTGAGGTAAGGACAGCTGGAGAATGCTGCAGATGCCCACGCTTGAAGTCTTGAGCTGGAAAAGGCAGGAGCTATACAGCGAACACAAGTGTGTGGCACAGCTGGCAGCAGCCCCGTACCGGGGCCTCACTCTACCGGGATCAGCCCGGTTACCAGAGGCAGGAACGGGGCAGGGCCTGTGCCCGGGGCAGCGCTGGGCCGGGCCCAAGCGGCGGCTCCACGAGGCCTGGCCGTGCTACACGGGGGGACCCCGGGCGCGCGGCCCTACCACAGGGGCTGCTGCGAGCTCCGCACGGACGCGGCGGCCGGGCCTTACCTGACGTCCTGGCCGACAGCGGTGCCGTGCTGCCGGTTGTGGCTGCGCAACGGGACGCAGCTCCGCAGTCGGTAGAGGCAGCCCTTGCAGGCGAGGAAGCGGGCGCATGGCGAGCGGTGGACGCGGGGGGACAGCCGGACCCCGTCCGCTGAGCTGCCCCAGCCCACCCCGCCATCCCCGTTAAACCAGCCGGGCACCGCCCGCACCCTAATAGTGACCAATCAGCGTCGTCTTCTCCCGATTGACAGGAGGCGAACCAACCAGCCCAGAGCATCCTGAAAAGACACGGGCGACTGACAGCTCTACTGCCCAATCACATGGCGGCCTTTGCCCCACGGATGGGCGGTGTTTCCTGGTCCGCCGTGCTGGTCGGGTCGCGGTGCCGGTGCTGGTTCGCGGAGGTGATGGGGACTCCAGGCGGGGCTGGAGCGGGGCCGGGATCCGGGCCGCCGCCGTCCGGGGACCTGCGCAGCGTGCTGATCACCAGCGTGCTGAACCTGGAGCGGTTGGAGGTCGACCTCTTCAGGTGCGGGCGGACGCCGTGGCAACGGGACGGGGCCGCCTCCTCCTCCGCCGCCACGCTCACCGCGGCCGCCTTCTCCCCGCAGGGGCCAGCACCACTGGGTGCCCGCCACGCAGCACCTCTTCGGCGGGCAGATCGTGGGGCAGGCGCTGGTGGCGGCGGCCCATGCCGTGAGCCGCGACGAGCAGGTGCACTCGCTGCACTGCTACTTCGTGCGCACAGGTGCGCCCGAGGAACCGGGCAGCCGGGCGGCGGGGACGGTGTGCGGGGGTTCGGGAGGGGCCCGGCACTGGTTGGGGCGCTGCGGAAGTTCGCGGGAGTGAGGAGGCGCCGTCATGCCGGTGCCAGCAAACGGGGAGGGTGTGAGCGGCACTGCCGGGCCCGGGCCTTGCAGAACGTCCCTTTCCCGTCGCAGGGGACCCCAAGGTGCCGGTGCTGTACCAGGTGGAGCGGACCCGTACGGGGAAGAGTTTCTCTGTTCGCTCTGTAAAGGCCATCCAGCATGGAAAGCCGATCTTCATCTGCCAGGCCTCCTTCCAGCTGTCCCAGGGAAGCCCAGTAAAGCATCAGTTCACCATGCCGACCGTGCCACCCCCCGAGGAGCTGCTGACGCAGGAGGAGCTCATCCAGAAGTTCCTGCAGTGAGTGGGGTGGAAGGGACACGCCAGGGATGCTCCTGCTGCCTGGGCATAGGGAGGTGTGGGAGAGTATTGTCTGAGGAGTTTTCAAATATGCCTGGGAGGGGAACAGAGGAGCTGTGCTCCTCTTGTCTTTCTGTGTGCCCCTGGTCCCTGGGCTGGAGCTGCTGCCAGCAGGATGTGTTCCAACCTGCCTGTCTGGCATTAACCTCGCTCCTTTGTGCTGGGTTGCAGGAATCCTAATGTGGCTGAGGGATACAGGAAGCGTCTCACCAAGATCCAAGCTCAAGATGTGCCGATTGACATTAAACCTGTGAACCCACCAGATATATTCAGCTCAGAGCCACAGGAGCCAAAGCAGCTCTTCTGGGTGCGAGCACGAGGCTATATAGGTGGGTCCTGCTGGGTCCAGGCGCCCAAGCTTAAGCACCAGCCCACACTGTGGAGCACTGTGGCAACAGAGTGGGCTGTGATTAAGGGGCTGCCTGTGCCCCAGCCTGGCCACTTCAAGGCTGTAATACAGGTGTGGGTGCAGAGGTGATGCCGTGAGCCATGCTGGGGCCTGGCATGGCAAAGGGAATAAGTCTGGAAGAATGTCAGCTGTGCTTGGCAGCTGGCTCCAGGGGAGAGGAGCCCCTGGGGCTCTGCACCCCAGACATGTCCCACGGGACAAGCAGCGCTGGTTGCTCTGCAGGGGAGACTGACATGAAGGTGCACTGCTGCGTGGCCGCCTACATCTCTGACTACGCCTTCCTGGGCACGGCCCTGCTCCCGCACCGCCAGTACCGCATCAAGTTCATGGTGTCCCTTGACCATTCCATGTGGTTCCATGCGCCCTTCAGAGCTGACCACTGGATGCTGTACGAGTGTGAGAGCCCCTGGGCTGGTAAGTCCTTAGTGGGTTTTTGGGAGACCTTCATGGCCAAGGGCAGCCCTGCCTGTCCTGGGGGCAGTGGGCTGCAGTCTGACAGTCTCTCTCTGCAGGTGGGTGCCGGGGCTTGGTGCAGGGCCGGCTGTGGCGCAGGGATGGGGTCCTGGCTGTCACCTGCGCACAGGAAGGTGTCATCAGGGTGGAACAGACACCAAAGCAGAGCAAGCTCTAGCTAAGGAGACCCTATAGACTGCGGCTCATGCATGCCGAGGGAGGCACCCTGAGATCAAGACAGGACCTGGACAGGAACAGGAAGGAGACCAGGTGGGACCAAGCACTGCAGGAAGTCCCAGTGCCAGAGGTGTCTGCAGCAGACTGTGACCAACAGAGCATCGCTGCAACCAGCTGCTAGCTGTGCAGCATATAAGTGCATACTGCCATCAGCTATCCTTCACCCACCTTAATAATAAAGTCATTGGGTGAAGAGCTGGACTCTGTCCCTGGAGTTTGTCCCCTTGGACCCGTGACTGGGCTTGCACGAGGGCAGGCAGTGCCAGGAGCACAGTGCATCAGCTCTGCCCCCATGCCAGGCTGGGTCACAGGAGGGGAAGGTGCTACTTTGGCACAGGTTGTTTCCTCTTCTCACTTCTGCACTGCTTGTACTGCCTTGGCTCTTTAGTTGCTACTTCTGCTTGTCCTTGGGCTCCTCCCCAGGACTGGGCTTGGGCCCAGCTGGGAGCTGAGGGAAGGGGATGAGGCAGCTCCCACCTCTGTGTGGCGACTTGAGGCCTCCCACTGATGATGCCCTGGGGTAGTAAGGCTAAACAGACACAGCAGGCGCTTTGCTCTTCTTCCTGCCAAGACTTTATTTAATAAAGTCCTTTCTATTGTGTAAGTTTTATGGGAAGTTCCCGGCAAGAGCCCTGGACCCTGCCAGAAGCTTTCCCGTTCCCTTGCAAGGTGCCAGTATGTCCCAGCTAAAGTCTCAGCCACTCCAGGATCCCCTACAGAGGGGGAGCAGCTTCTGGCAGCACCAGTGTGGGTGGTGGACCCCCATGAGTCCCCAGCCCCACAAAACAGACTAATCACAGAGAAAGTGCATTCAGGAGGCAGCTCCAGCCACGGGCTGCGCTGCCTGTGGGGCTGCAGTGCTGCTCCCTTGCCCCACTGCCACCCATGGCATTTCCCTCACTGTCCCCAGCTGCCACAGGCGTGTGAGCACCCCCACAGCCCTTGCCCTCTCGCCTATGTGAGCACAGGTGGCTCATTCCAGAGGTTCCTTGATCAGGCATTCCTTCAGGGATGGCTGCTGCTGCAGGGGCAGCCCAGCTTCCCGCAGGTCCTGCAGCCGGGCCTCCGAGCGCCGCTTGTCCTTGCCCACCTTCCAGGCCAGGTGGACGTGGGCCTGCAGGAAGGGTCCCAGCAGTGGGTGGCTGCCCTGGGCCTCCAGCAGCTGCAGCGCCTGCTCGCAGCAGCCATGGGCCTCACTGAGCTGGTCCAGCTCCTGGTGGCAGACGGCCAGCCCAGCCAGCGTCAGCAGGAAGCGGCCGGAGCTGCAGACCCCCAGCCGGTCCTGCAGCCGGTAGGCATTGGCCCAGGTGGCCAGGGCCTCGCGGTACATGCCAGTGCAGGTCAGGCGCTGCGCGGCCTGCAGGTCCGGCAGGAAGAAGAACTCGAGGAACTCAGGAGAGCGGCGGATCTCATCGATGGAGTGCAGATGGGACAGGAACTGTTCGAAGGCTCGGCTCCGCTTGGCAATGGTCTCAGCAGTGAAGTTCCGGCGCAGTCTCTTCCTGGGGAAGGCAACGCTGGCCATGTCGCAGCTGAAGCGGCAGCGCAGGCGGCGGTTCAGCTGCTCAAAGTCCGAGTAGCGCCGGGCGATGGTGGCAGGGGCCTTGTCAAACTGGCCAGAGCGGATCAGGTAGATGGTGTAGAGCTGCGGGGGAGGCAGGTGTCAGGCAGTGCTGTGGTCACGCTGCTCCCGGCACAAGCACAGCGGGGTGTGCGGCCACAGAGGGCCTGGGGGAGTTTGCCCGAACAGAAGGAAGTGGACTGGGCTGCTGCAGCTGCAGCACCCATCAGCAATAGTTACCTGAGGCTCATCTGAGCCGCCAGCACCATCCGAGCAGCACGGGGAAAGAGAAAAAAATAAGCGCCAGCCCCGTGTGATCCCTGCCCCGGGAAGAGCAGGACTCGTACCCAACCCGTGCCCGCCCAGCCGCGCCGGGCTCACTCACCACGTACTTGGAAGAGCGCTCGCTGACCACGCTGGCGCTGGTGACCTCGAAGAGCAGCCGCTGCGGTGCCAGGCTGCCCCGCGACCTCCGCCACAGCTCCTGCAGCTGCCGGGTCAGCAGGCTGCCGCCGGGACGCTCCGCCGCAGAGACCCACTCTGTGCCGGGAGAGGGGCGTCAGTGCCCTCCGTGGGGACAGGCCTCTGACATCTGTCGGGCTGCCGGACGCCACCATCGCAGGAGTGTCCCTGGAGTCACCCCAGTCCCCCCAGCTCACCGCCCCAGCACCTGCCTCCGTCCTCCGTGCCCGCTGCCGCCCCCGGCGCCTGCGGCGGCTCCTCCAGCTCCTCGCTAGCTCCGTCCCCCTCCTCCTCCTCCTCCTCCTCGTCTTCGTGGCTGGTGAAGCTCAGGGTGCCGCTGAGGCGCGTCGACAGCCCCTCGGTGTCGTCCTCCAGCTCCGAGCTCTCCGGGCAGTCCTCGGCCTCGCCGCCGCCCGCCGGCTCCTCCCGGCCGGCCTCGCCCGCCAGCGCGTGCCGCAGCCGGTGCAGGATGCGGGCGGCCATCGCTGCCGGGGGGTCCGGGCCGGCACCGCGACACGGCGGGGCCGGGGGCTGCCCACCGCGGCACGGCCCCCGGCGGGGACAGCCCGGCCCCGGGACACCCTCCCGGTGCTGCCCCCGCCCCGGCCCGTTCGCGCTGCCCCGGGCCGGGCCGAGCCGAGCCGGGTGGTGCCGAGCGATGGCCGCTCCGCCACGGCTCGTCCCGGGATCCTCCCTGCGCGGCTCCGCCTCCGCCGGGAACCCGGATCGGGGTGGCGGAGCCGGCACCGCCCGGCACGGCCGGGATCGGGATCTGCGCTTGCGGCAGCGTCCGGCACCATCGGGATCGGCTCTCCCGGCACTGCCCGGCACAGCCGAGATCGGGGTCGGTCACTGCAACACCGCCCGGGACTCTCGGATCAGGGTCAGGGCTCAGCCTGGCTCTGCCCGCAGCCCCTGCCTAGGAACCGAGCCCGCCCTTCCCGGTCTCGGCTCCTCTGTCCGCTGTCCGGGATGTCCTGGCCGGGCCGAGCTCCGGATATCTGCCCTGGGGCCACAGGAGCCATACACTCCGGTGCTCGGCGCTGTGGTGTCCCAGGCTCTTGATATCCCCATACCCTGGCACCGCTGTGCCCTGACAGCCAGGTTCACCAACACTCCTGTATCCTGCTGCCCAGACTCAGGCTCCTGATCCCACTGGGATGTCCCCTGGGCCACCTTGGCACCCTGCCGCCCTGGCCTCAGTCGGCCTCACCACGCGCCCCATGGCCAGGCTGCACCTCCGGCACTCGCCCAGCCTTTTTTAGCGCCTGCCCGCTCACTCCTCACTGTTTCCTTGGGAATGTCTATAAATATCGAGGAACCAGCCCAGCTGCTGCTATCGCTCTGTCCATTTCTTGCTCACTGTGCCCTGTTCCAGCACCCTGCACCCCACACGGGCTCAGATGGGACCCCTGAGCTTCCCTGGGCAGGGTGGGATGCACTAGGGGCTGGACTTGTTTCCTGTTCCCACCTGGTGAATGAAAGTCCCAGCAAAACCAGGAGCCAGAAAACCTCTGGGTATCCCTGGCACTGGGATCTTATGGGACAGAGATTTGTCACCCTGACCCCACTGCAGCCCTGAGGCTCCGAGCACCACAGGGCATGGGCCACTTGGCCAGTGCGTCCCCAGAGCCACCAGTCCCAGCCAGTCCTGGCAGCAGTGGCTGGCACGGGCTGTGAGTGTGAGGACTGAGTCTTCGAGGAGGCACCGGGCATAATTCCCACTCCTCAGAAGCACGAAAAGATGGAGCCATTTCCGGAAACAGGTGCCAGCAGCACTGGGGACCCCAAACCATGGGGCTCATGCTCCAAATCTCTCCAGGGATTTTGTGCCCCAGACCCCACACGGGACCCCTTCTTTATCTGGGTTTGGTGGCTGCAGCCCTGCTCTGCCTGGGTCCCCTGGAGCAGAAAACGGGGGTGCAGGGGGGGGACACTGTACTGGGGAAAATCAGCTTAGTATTTGGAGCTTGGCCCAGGAAGGGCTGCATTTTCAGGGGCCAGTGGGTGATAGTCTATGCCCCCTGAGCAGGGGGGACCCTGTCGCCCCTCCCCCGGTGATGCTGACGGCTCCAGGGCTATTTTTAACCCCCTCGTTGCTGAGTTGCCTTGGATGGGGGTGTTGGGGGTGGGCAGAGCTAAGCTTCTTCCACAGCTTTGATCTCCCTCCTGAAGGGCTTGAATTTCCATCCCAGCCTCATCCCCACGTTAATCCCAGCCCTTGGCCAATAAAGCTTTGGCTAAATTAGGTAAAGGCACCAGTTGCCAGTGAGAGGGGCTGGGTGCTGCCAGAGCGCTGATAGGCTGAGGGGGCCAGGGGGCAGTAGCTGGAGGTACATCCCACAGAGGAGACACTACAAATTGGGGTGCCAGGGGCACCAGGAAGCTTCTGGGAGTTCCTGCTGCAGGAGCTGGTGATTCTCTGTGGGAGGGAAGCACCATAAATTCCCAAGATGGTGAGTGTTCCTGTGTGCTGTGTGCCATGTGCTGTGTGCCAGGACAAGACCTGACTGGACAGGAGGCAGCAGGGGAGTGTGGGCTGTGGAGGTGCCTCTGCAGAGGGCAGCAGGGATATGGTCCCCAGTGCTGGGCTGACCATGGTGGCCAGGGCAGGGAAGCGTTGGGGTGGTGCAGGGTCCCTGCAGGACAGATCTGAGGGGGTGTGTGTGGCTGCTGAGGGGGTGCAGGTGCCTGGAGACACCATCTCAGCTCTGGTTGGAGCTCAGGGCTGCACAGAGGCAGGGGTAGCAGGGGGTGGCTGAAAGCCGAGTGCTGGGTCATGCGACACAGTGTTGCTGCTGGCTCCATGGCCGCCCTGCGCCTCCAGGAGAAACTCGATCAGGGTTGACAGGTGCCACGGCTGTAGCCCCAGCGAGCCCTACAAGGGGAGCTGAGGAGGTCCCAAAAATAGCACTGCATGCTCAGGATGCCAAGGCTGTACACAGGGACCATGACCCCAGCACAATGGAGCCCCCCAGACAGTGGGGGACTCGGGCAGGCAGCTCCCTGCAGCCCTCCATGTTCATGGATTGTCTGGAAGGCATCAGAACTGTAGGGATTGCTGGTGTCTGTGGCTTATGCTGGCACAGGATGATCCTGCAGCAGGGCAGAGGCTCTTTCCACAGCCAAGCACTGTTGGGCCACGCTGTATGAGGGGTCTCTGGCCTGATATGGGTGACCCTCTCCCTTGCCTTGCAGACGGACCAGCAGGCAGAAGCCCGCGCCTTCCTCAGCGAGGAGATGATTGCGGGTGAGTGTGAGGACAGCAGGGACAGGGGCCAGACGTGGCCGTGGTGCAGGGCCTGGCTCTGCCCCACTGCTCAGAGACCTGACCTGTCTCTCCACAGAGTTCAAAGCCGCCTTTGACATGTTTGATGCTGATGGCGGTGGCGACATCAGCACCAAGGAGCTGGGGACGGTGATGAGAATGCTGGGCCAGAACCCCACCAAAGAGGAGTTGGATGCCATCATTGAGGAGGTGGATGAGGACGGTGAGCAGCCCTTGGTGGCTGGTGGCAGGGGTGGGCACTGGACCCTGGGCAGGCAGCCTGACCCACACCTGGTTCCTCCCCACAGGCAGCGGCACCATCGACTTCGAGGAGTTCCTGGTCATGATGGTGCGCCAGATGAAAGAGGATGCCAAAGGCAAGTCTGAGGAGGAGCTGGCCAACTGCTTCCGCATCTTTGACCGGTGAGTGTGGGGGCGAAGCGGCCCATCCTGTCTGTGGGAACAAGCAAGGTCCCATCCTTGTCTCACCCTCCTGCAGGAATGCAGATGGGTTCATTGACATTGAGGAGCTGGGTGAGATCCTGAGAGCCACTGGAGAGCCTGTCACTGATGAGGACATAGAGGACATGATGAAGGACTCAGACAAGAACAATGATGGTCGCATCGACTTTGATGGTGAGCAGTGGCCCCAGCCAAGCACCCATGTTGTGCACCCAGGCAGGGCCATGGGCTGAGGCTGCTGCTCTCTTGCAGAGTTCCTGAAGATGATGGAGGGCGTGCAGTAAGGGACCAGACATTCCTCAGGCCAGCTGCTGCACCCAGCCCTGCTTCCCTGCTGTCCAGGGAGCAGCAGCTCCACAGCACCTGGCCCTCAGCACTGGCTGGGACCTTGCTCTGTGCCAGGGTCCTGGTCTCATCTCACCATCGGCGGCTGAGCTTTTCCTCCCATCTGTCACCTGTGGCTTTGATTTGAGCCTCAATTAAAGAGGAAAGGCTTGAGCTGCTGGTGCAGGATTTCATTGGGGGTGCATGGGGAGGGGGGCTGTGGCAGTGTGTGCCCCTGCTCTGCTCCCCAGGGAGGGAACGTGGGCGGGCTCACGCCACAGGGCAGTGCTGCAGGGGCAGCCCAGAGCTGTGGTTCCCACGGCCTCTTGGGCAGGCGCCAGTGCTGAGCTCAGAGTTTCCGTGCAGAGCAGCTCGTTCACACGCCAGAGGCTGAGGGAGCATGGCCCTGGCCCTGAGGCTCCTGCTCCAGGGCAGGGCTATGGGAACACAGGAGCTCTAGAGAACCACAACAGCCTGCCCCACACTGAGATCCACATCTCCCATCCAGAGGATCTGGCTATAAGGTGGAAGGGCAGGAGCAATCCCCTCCCTGTAGGGGAAAGGTGACACTTGTCTCTGTGTCCCTCTGTGAAGAGGCTGTGCCAGCCTGCTGGAAATCACAGCTCCCTGGGGACCAGCTGGGGTGGAGCACAGCAGGGAGGATGAGGCAGGGTACACCCCCAGCCAGGGTGGGTGGGACCACCGAACCAAAACACGGCTCAGAGCTGGTCACGTACCCGCAGCGCAGCGCTGTGGCACAGAGCAGTCGAGCCCCCTGGAGAGCCAGTGGCCACCGTGCCCATCCTGCCCCTGCCCTGCTTTCACGGGGTGGCATGGCACCGGGCAGGAGGGACGCGTGCCGTGGGCACGCGGGGGCAGTGGGAACATGTGCCACAGCCCAGGCTGCCCTCTGCAAGGCCACGGCCGGACACCGGCAGCTGCTGCTGCAGCTCGGGGGGAGCGGCGACTGCCCTCGGCTGCGTGAGGAGCGACGCAGGAGGAGCGCAGAGGCCCGTGAGCTCAGCATGGGTAAGGAGGGACCTGCTGTACTGGGCAGCAGCCACGGGAACCTCTGCACACCCCCTGCTCGGCCCCAGGGCCGCCCCAGCTCACTCGCCTGTCCCACAGGGCTGCGGCGGATGCTGCTGGCGGGGCTGCGGCAGGGCCCGGCGAGCCCTCTGGAGCGGCAGGAGCTGGAGCGGCTGTGGGTGCTCTTCCTCTCCGCCCTGGAGCTCTTCCTGCAGGACCTGTACAGAGCCCAGCACCTCTGCCAGCTCTTCTCCATGCAAAGGGGTGGTGTTGCCCCGCTGTGCACTGGGCTGGGGGGCTGGGGGCTGCCCAGCCGGAGAGGAGGGGGTCCCACACAGCCCCCAGCCGCCCAGAGCTTGGAGGAGGAGATCGAGCAGGTGAGGGCCACGCTGGCAGAGATGGAGAGCGGAGCCAACATTCCACCGTGGACAGTGGAAGCCACAGAAACCACACAGCCAGCAGAGACAAACGGCACCACAGAGAGAGCAGCCTGGGGAGGCCCCTGTGCTGGGCACTGCTGTGGGGCGCTGTGAGCTAGCGGGGCAGGAAAAGCAGTAGGGGTGGCACCCCTGTCACAGAGCAGGGGACAGAGGTACCCCTACAATCCTCAACCCCTGCCTTTGCAGGTGATGGTGGGGGCTGCTCCCACTCTGTAAATGGAAAGGGATCACTCCAGGTCCCCAAATACTGTAGAGCTCCTGTTACCTCACAGGGGTCAGTATCCCTTCTACCCTCCCTGCCACACTTGCAGAGGGGCCTCTGGGCACTCGGGGTGTGCTAGAGCTGCCACAGAATCCCCTGCAGAAGTTATAAACCTGCATTTATTTATACATTAACCGTGGCTCGGACTGCGACATTAATTTAAAAACAGGCTATGATACAGAACGCGGGGGACAGCCGGGAGGGAGGGAGGATGGGGTGTGCTGAGGGGCGGTGGTGACGGTCAGGTCTCCTGGCTCTTGGTCTGCTTGTTGTACGTCTCCCGCACATACTTCTTGTAGGCTGAGGAGAGAGGGGGAACATGACACCAAGGGTCCTGAGACAACAGCCAGGGCAGCTGTGTGGCCAGACAGGCACTGGGGGCTGTGCTGCTGCCCATCCCACTGGAGGAGGGTTGTGCTTCAGGCACTCACCGACTTGGTTCTTCCAGAGCTCAGCTGCATGTGTGTTCAGAGGGCTCTCGATGTTTGGCTCTGGAAACAGTGGCTGAGTCAGCTGGTGGGGGGGGGGACCTGGACACCCTTGAGCCCTGATCTGGGATGGACAGCCCCACCACCATCACCATCCCTTCCCCCAGCACTCCACAGCAGTTTGTCCATGAGACCCACCTGCCAGTAGGCTCTGAATGGAGAGCAGGATGGTGCGGACATCATACAGCGCTGACCACTTTTCCTTGAGGATGTCGAGGCAGATGTTGCCCTGGGTGTCGACGTTGGGGTGGTAGCAGGGGGTGAGGAACCGCACGGTGGGGGCTGTGTAGGGATATCCGCTGGGGAACTCCAGCGACAGCTTGTACCGCAGCTCCTCGTAGGCCTGGCGGTGGGAGTCGAGGGGGACAGTCAGGGGGGGCCGTAGCCCCAGAGCTGCGGGAAAGCCTCGGGGGAAAAGAGGTACAGGGGGAGTGGAGGGCTGGGACCACCCTCAGCTGAAGGGAGGAAGGTGGGGCAGGGTCAGCCCCCCAGACCGGGATCGCGCCTCTCACCGTCCCGGCGGCGCCGTCAATGGTTCCGATCCACTTGAAGAGGTTGTCGGACTCGGGGAAGGCAGAAATGCCTTTGTCACCGGACATCTGCAGGGGCAGCGCGTCAGGGCGGCCCCGGACACCCCGAGACACCCCCCACCCCAGTTCAGCCCCCGGGTGCCTTTGGGACCCCCAACCCGCGGCTTGGTGCCAGGATCCCCAACCCAACCCCCGACTCGGCCCCAGGGCCCCACTCACCATCAACGCCATCAGTTCTTGCTGCAGCCTGCGGGGAAAGCGCACGTTACCGGCCCGCTCACCGGGGCAGCCCCCGCCCTCAGCCCCGGTCCCGGTCCCGCTCACCTCTTCCCCACCGCGCCGCGGGCCGCCGTGGCCCCGGTCTCAGCCGCTTTGCGGGCGGCTGCGCTGGACACGGCGGCGGGGTCGGCGTTCTGTGAGGCCATAGCGGCTCCGGGGCACGGACCAGCACAGCAGCACCGGCCGCCGCTGCCGGCGGGTCACGGGCTGGACGCGGCTACCGCTCTCCGGCGGCGCCGCACCGGGCTCCGCTGGCTCCTTCCCTCCCTCCCGCAGTCCCGCTCGGGGCAGGACTCGGGCCCCTCTGCGGCTGTGCCGGTGCCGAGCGGCGGTCAGGGCTCCCCTAGCGGGGCTGCCCTGTGCCGAACGGCGGTGCGTGGGGCTCTCCCGTGCAGCGACGGCGGTCCGCACCCAACCACCGTTCCAAACACTCTCCGATTCAGGAGCGGCTCGGTCCCGACCCCTTCTTCGGCGCAGGAGTGGCTGGGTCCCAGCCCCTCTCCGGTGCAGGAGCGGCTCGGTCGCAGCCCCGGTCCCGAACACTCTCCGGTACGCCCGTCCCGCGCGGCCCCGCCTGCTCCCGCACCCCGTTTGAATATTTCCGCGTGCGGCCCCTCCACCAATCAGCGCACAGCCCCGTTCGAGCCGGCCAATCACCGCCCGCCCAGGATGCAGCTCCCACGGTAACGGCCAGGGGCTGTTGATTGACGGCCGGCCAGTGACGCACCGCGCTGTGATTGGCCGCTGCCCCGCGAGGGGCGGACCCGCGCGTCCCGCGGGCCCTTCGGCGGCCGGACCCGGTGCCCGGCCCCAGGAAGCGGCGAGGTGGGAACGAAGCGGCTTTATTGGGGGGCATCAGGGTTCGGGGGGGCCCTCGGGGGGCGGCACCTCCCCCCCGCGGCGAAGCGTCTCCATGTGCTTCTGCATCTTCTCAGTCATCCAGGCTGGTGGGATGAAGGGCTTCAGCTCCTCTAGCCGCAGATCAACAGAGTCCCTGGGGAGGAAGGAGGGGGAGATGGAGGGACTCCAGCACCCACTGCTGACCCCAAACCCACCATGTCCCCTAGCACGCATCAGTACCAAGCCCAGACCCACCAAACCCACCATGGATCTCAATCAGCACTGAGCCCAAACCTACCATGGACCCCAACCAACACCAAACCTTAGTCGCCCAGCGTGGCCCCTGGGCACCAAACCCCAACCATAACCGAGCCCCCAGCCGTCAGGCAGAGAGTCCCTCCATCATGGGATGCCCCTGCAATGCAGCAGTGAGGGAAGACATGGTAGGGCTCCCCGGGAAGCAGCCCCTGGCCCAGCAGCACTTTCAGAGTTTCTGCTTTGGTCCTCACCTGTAATCCTCACTGGCGGCCAAATCCCGAATGTCCTCTTCGATGAGGAGGTAGGCCTGTGGCACAAGGCGGGGGACACCTCAGGGTGCCTGCGAGGGGCAGCCGGGCAGGGCCACACCCCCCAGCCACAGCTGTTCCCGAGGGAGCCAGCTGTGCCTCCTGGCCCATGCCCCAGTGCTGTGGGCAGGGGATGGGCCTCGGCAGCGCTGTGTCCCCATGCCCTGCCTATCCTCCTGGCCCTGCTGGGGCCCTGCGCCCGGCCGTACTCACCATCTTGCCCCCAATGGCCCTCATGTGCTGCTGCTCTGTCAGCCAGTGCTTATCCTGCGGGTCGGCCGCGTACTGCAATAAAGCAGCAAGGACCGAGCTGAGAACGGGTGACAGACCCTCCCCTGAAAGCCCCCTCCTGCAGGATGCTGCCCCCTGCTCTGCTCTGCCCCCCGCTCCGCCTGCCCTGCCTCTGGCAGACCACCTTGGCAGGCACACACCACTGGCTCGTGCTGTGTGCTAGCCAAACCTTGGGAATGTGCTCTAAGACAACAAACAAGGGCATGGGGGAGGAGGTAAACAAGGGAGCTGAAGCACACACTCCTCATTCCCATGGGAAACCATCTGGCTGTGGCACCTGACCTTAAAGAGGTGGGGATGCTTGATGTAGAGTCGCCCTCTTGTTCCTCCCATCCCGAGAGCTCTGCAATAGGAACACGAGGGGTGTTAGGGTTGTGGGGAGGGCAGCTGCGGTGGCACAGGGACACCCCTCTCCTCCCCAAGCCCTTCCTACTGCTTTTGAGGCAGAGAAGCGAAGTGACGGGAGGAGTGTCACGGGCTCCTGCCTGGGGACACCACCCTCCATCGACAGGGCCGTTCCTTACTTGTTTGCTCGAGATCCCAGCACAAAGGTTGTGGTTTCAGTCAGTCGGGATGGATCCCACTACAGAGCAATTGGAAAAGGGGCAACATTAGAAATGAAGTTGCTGCTGGCCATGCTCTACAAGCCTCGGCTCTCCAACAGGGAACCTTGGAGCTGCCTCCAGACTGGGAGGGAGGGAGCTGGCCAATGACCTCCAGCCTTCTGCAGGGGAGGGACGTCACATTCCATCTGGGTTGATCTAAGCAGTTTCCCTCGTGGGAAACACTTGTGGGATTCTCCTGGCTACTCCCGGTCTCCTCAGGTCTCCCTCAGCGGCACCACAGCACAGGGCACAGGCTACGGTGCCTGGGGAGACCAGCAAAGGCCTCCGGGCACTTCGCTTCCTCTTCTTGCTCCCCCCCTGCCCAGGGCCCCAGCAGGACAGGGCACAGCCCGAGCTGTCCTGTGCTCCTGCAGCTGCAGGGCTCTGCTAGTGGGAGCAAAGGGGAGGAGAGAGGGAGCCCAGCAGTGTCGGACAGCTAATACCTTTGGTCCATCCCTTTTCACAGGCTCAGAGACTTTGAGCTTCCACCTGAGGGGAAGGAAAACACAGTAAGAATGAGTCCCAGTGGAATCAGCTTAGTCACCACCAGCAGCTGGGACTGAGCCCCAGCCCTTCCAATCCACCGTTTTTCACACCCTCCATTCCCCCACAGCGCCCAGTTTCGGACCCTCTGCTTTGCTGCACATTCTCCTCTCCTGGTTGCCCAGTTCCCACCATCCCCTGTGTCTCACCACTCACTCTGGATGGTCCATCTGGACCTCTTCATCCCTTTGGGCATGTTTAAAATCCCTCCTTTTAAGGTCTTTGCCTCCTGAGGGGAACACCTCAACCTAACCCTGCTTCTGCCCACACCCAGAAGAACTCCCATCACCTCTCTGCAGCAGAGGAGTCTGTGGGGTTTCTGTGCTCCCCACAGGCAGCCTCATTCCCCCTGCCCTCCCGAAACAGGGGCTCTAGCTCAGGGTTTGTACTCACGCTGCCATGCCTGAGACTCCACGGTCGTTTGACAGGCTGTGTCCTGGAGGCCGCCCCTTCCTCTGCAAGAAGAAACCCTTCTGTGACCCAGATGTGCTGCTGAGGGAACCCTCTCAGCCACCCTCCCTCTCCCAGGGAAGCTGCTTCTTTTGTCACAGGCACAAACTCTGCCTGGTGCTCAGAGTGAGCACCTCCAACACCTCAAAAAATCTGCCTGTGCACCTTCATGGACTCACACAGTGGGAATGGCCAGAAATGCGGGCCAGGTTTCCCAAAACATAAAATCTCTTGTGGGGAAAACCATCCCACCTTTTTTGGAATGGGGCTCCCTCGGCGGCTCAGCTCCTCATCCATCTGTCGGGCACGCTGGAAGAGGAAGGGCAGTGGGATGAGCAGGGCTCTTCTCCCTGCCTGGCCAGGTGAACACTGACCCCAGCCCACCTCTGTGAGCAGCACAGAACTGCAGCAAGCAGCACCCACATTTGGGATTCTCCTTGCCCTGTATTCCCTTCGGGCCAGACATCCCCCACTCTGCCTCTGCACTACTGCACTGGCAGCCAAGAAGAGCCAGAGAACAAAGTGATCCCAACTCTTCTTCTCCCAGCTCTCACAGGTCATTTAAACCTCTGTGTACAATCACAACAATTACCTTTGGCACTGCCTGCTCATGGGGCAACCTGGGAACCACCTTTTTGCCATCGGAGAACAACAGTTTGGCCTGCAGGAAGACAAAGAAGGTTCCATGGATTCTGAGCTCAGAGAGGGCCCCATAAGCAACCCCCACCTCTACATATCTGCCTAAAAACCCTGCAACAGCTTTGCTTTTGGAGTGCCATCAGGCCATGCTTCCACAGACAGCCAGATGCAAAAGCACAATCTGAGCATGATAAATTCTGGAGAAATGGCAGATAAGCAACACGTGAAAGGAAAAATCCTGCCCTACCCTGCCAGGACCCTCTGACAGGTGCTGGGAGCCAGTTTCTGCAGGACTTCAGCAGTGTGCCATGCTCCTACAGCAGCACTGAGAAGAAGCAGCATGAGCTGCCCAGCCCTGACTGCTCCCTTCTTGCCAGTGAGAATGAATCCCAACACAGCAGTCACACAAGGGCTGCAGATGTCCCCTCAGAGTGACAGCAAAGCTGTTAAGAACAACACATTCTAGCCAGGCTGCTTTGCTTGGCTGGGCACCCAAGAAACACCTGACCAGCACCCACCTGCTCCAGGCAGCTCCTACAGGTCTCCTGGATGAGCTGCTCAGGGTCCACCTCCTCCCCAGCGTTATCACGCACGTTGATTGCTGCAGTCTGGAAAAACTGGAGAGGAACAGGCAGGAGAGTGTGACAGCGTGCGCGGTGCCAGCTCAGCTCCCACGGAGGGGCGCGATGGCCCCGGTGGCAGCCGAGCTGTCCCCCCGCCCCTGCTGCCGCCCGCCCGCCCGCAGCGCCCACCTTCATGTACTTGTTGAAGATGCCCTGGATCTCCTCGTTGATGCTGGGCTGCAGCACGGCGCGCAGCAGCTCCATGGACACGCTGGGGTCCGTGAAGCTGCGGGTGGAGGGGTCAGAGGGCGGCGCGGAGCCCCCGGCCCGGCCCGGCCTGCTCCTCCCTCCGCCCGGTGCTCGTCCCGGTCCCGCGCTTCCACCCCTCCCCTCCATCCACGGCGTGCCCCGGCCGCCCATCCCGCTCCCGCCGTACCTGGTGGTCATCTGGGAGCGCCGCCCGCGCCGCTGCACCTGCCGGTGCTTGATCATGATGTTCCAGGGGCTCTGCGGGACACACGCGTCAGCCGCGGCCCCGCCGCCGCCCGCTGCCCCCGGCCCGGCCCGGCCCTGCCCGGCCCCTCCTCACCGTGCTGACCAGCTGCTCCTCGGCCTCGCCCGGGCCCTCCTCGCCCGGCGGCCCCGGCTGCTGCTCCGCATCGCGGGCGGCGCCCATGGCCCCGCTGCCGGCTGCGGCGCCGGTGACCGGAGGCGCGGGGATGCCGCGCCTGCATCATCGGGCCTCGACGGATGTGACGCGAACCGGGGCCGTGGGGCCGGGCCGGGCCCGGTGGGTACCCGGTGTGTGCTCGGGGCCTGGGGGGCAGCGCTGTGTGCTCGGGGCCTGGGGGGCTCCCGCTGTGTGCTCGGGGAGCCCGGGCTCACGGCGTGCCCGCCCGAAGGTGCCGCCGGAGCGCTGGCCGCAGCCCCGGTGTCCCCGCCGCTCGGCAGTGCCGGAGGGCGAGGCCCGGCATCCCTCAGGAGTCCCTTAAAGCCGCCCCTTCCACCAGAGCGGGGCTGTCCGGGGGGCGCAGGACACGCGTGGCCCCGGCCCCGAGAGCCGAGTGCTGCAGCGGGAATGGGAACGGCCGTCTTTCCATGATCTCTGTGTTTCCTCGTGTAATTCCTCTTTCTGGATTCTCATTGCCACTCTGAGCAAACACCCCAAAGCATTTCCTCATCGTATAATGTGTGCAGAATAGTCAAAACAACTTTTCTGTCGTTTTCTAGATACTCTCACCCCATGTTGTGGTCAAAGAGAAGCTTTTCTGGTGAATCAGCTGGATAACAATTTGCATTGATAAACCA